CTTGCCATATAGCTTTGGTAGTTCTCTTAACAATTTGTTGGATAGTAGATATACCCCTTTTGAAAGAATAAGCTAGGGTAGGATACCTACATCCTGTTGCTAAATACCTAAATAAAAAATATATTTAAATTATTAATTGCTTTACTATAAACAAATCATAAGCTTTTCTTCAAAAGTAATAGGATCCTTTATAGAATTTGAGTGTTGTAGGCAATATAGATTTTATATGCTTAATCATATAATAAAAGGTCTCCTAAATTAAAATGAATTATAGACAAAATAGAATAAAATTACTTTTATCATTCTCATATAGTTGTAAAATTTAGGATCATTTTTTAAGAGTTTAAGAAAGAGGACATAAAATTCGCCCTCTTTTTTTTTATTAATATTAAGAGTGACCTTGAATTCATAGTGAAGAGCGATTGCGATTTCACCGCGATATCGCAGGATCGATTGCAGCGATTTTCATTCATAGTGCAAAGCGATTTTATTGATTCAAAATGGTAACTATCCTCAAATTATTATTTTTATACAAAATGATCTTGAAGAGGAGAAGATTAAACACTCTTGATATTAATAAAAGAAAAGAGGGCGAATTTTATGTCCTCTTTCTTAAACTCTTAAAAAATGATCCTAAATTTTACAACTATATGAGAATGACAAAAGTAATTTTATTCTATTTTATCTATAATTCATTTTAATTTAGGAAATCTTTTATTATATGATTAAGCATATAAAATCTATATTGCCTACAACATCATCAAATTTTATAAAGGATCCTATTACTTTTGAAGAAAAGCTTATGATTTGTTTATAGTAAAGCAATTGATTATTTAAATATATTTTTTATTTAGGTATTTAGCAACAGGATGTAGGTATCCTACCCTAGCTTATTCTTTCAAAAGGGGTATATCTACTATCCAACAAATTGTTAAGAGAACTACCAAAGCTATATGGCAAGCTTAGGTAAGCCAACATATGCCACCACCTATTCTCTCTGATTTTGAGACAATAGTGAAGGTATAATATAGTTAATATTATATTTATGTTAATTATTATTTAAAAGGACTTTGAAGTAAAGTGGAATCTACCAAATTGTATAGGTAGTATTGATGGTAAACACTGCAGAATAAGAACCACCTCATTCTGGCAGTGGAATTTATAATTACAAACATTTTTTCTCTGTTGTTTTACAAAGTTTGTGAATTTGTTTTTTATTTATGCTAAATAAATATTTCTGCATTAATTAAAGATTGCAATGAAAACTTGATAATTACAAAAATATAATTTTTAAAAAAATATATTATTTAAATATTGTAAAAACAAGGAATTGTGTATGCTAATGGAAAATTTATAACTGTTGATGTTGACAGTGAATCTGATGGAGGAGTTTTTGCTAACTCCAAAATATATAAAATGATAGAAAGTGGAGAGATTAAATTGCCTCCTGCAAAAAAATTGCCCAATTCCAGCCTTATTTTCCCACATTATTTTGTGGGTGATGATGCTTATCCTTTGAAGTCCTATATTTTAAAACCTTATAAGGGTATATAGTATATATTGAATTATTTATATAATATATTAAAGCAATTATTTTGGCTAATATTAACTTAATTGAAATGGCCAGTATCTTAATAATCATGAATTATTAATTTTTTATATATAATAAAATTTGTTTTCAATATTATCTTAAGGTAAACTTTCACTCCAACAGGAGGCCTTAATTATAGAATATTTAGGGCTAGAATACAAGTGGAATGCACATTTGGTATTCTAAGAGCTAAATGGATGATCTTTGGATGACCAATGGATACCAAATTAGAGCTAACAGAAGATATAATAAAAACATGTACCTTACTCAATAACATTATTATTGATAAGGAAAAATATATTCCTTTTAACCCTCAAAAAAATCAACCCCTTTAAATAATTTATTTAATCAACAATCAATTAAATCTACATATAATATTGCAAAATATAATAGAAATTTATTATGCTTTATTTATATCAAAATCCTATATTATAAATATATATAATTTTTTTTATATAAATTAAATTATATTTTATCTTGTATTTTTCATATATTTTAATAAAAATAAATTTAGTTTTAATAAAGTCTAAATTCATTATAAATTATATGTGTAGAAATATATCACTAAGAAGGCTAATTTGTGTAATTTATTTTAAATAAATAAGATATCTATAAATAATATACATACAAAATATATATTTCAAATAATACAAATACATAAAAATATCTATTTCATATAACATAAATATATACAAAAAATTTTTTTCAATTCAAATCTTTTATACATTTAAAATCTTTTATAGCATCAAATATTATAGTTGAATCCATTTCTTATTTGTACAACCATCTAATTTTTCTTTAAACATAAGACATATTCCATATGTAGTTGGTTTATTTCTAAGCATTTCCATGGTTATTAATGTTTTTTCTTCTTCTAATTTTATTAGTTTCTTAAAGTCATCTATTTAAAAATTTTCTATAAATCAAATAATAAAATTACCAAAATCATTTTTCTTTCTCTTACGACAATTATAATATGAACGAGGTGATACAACAGAGGAGATAGATTCTTCAATATAAATAATATTTATTTTTAGATATTATTAATTACCAGAATCATTAAGGTTTAGTTCTACAGGACGTTTGGGAATAAGTTTATCATCTATTATATTCTCGTTGTCAATGAGATCACCTAAATAATAAATACATTATCAATTAAAATTCTATATTTTACATTCATATAACTCCCCTCATATTTCATTTAATATCTCATTGACATTTGTAGGAGTAGAGTCCACTTTATCTAAAGAGGACTGCTGTAACCTTGGTGTTACAGTATCTACCAAGAATAGCATATCCTGGTAGAATGGCCATGAAATATGATGGCCAGCCTCTGACCCACTTTTAAGTTTGTGAAGCTTGTTTCACTCTTTTAAGAAACAATCTCTTAGATTTTTCCAAAGAGCTTTGAGAGATGAACCTAAAAAGGTTTATAAATATAATATATATATGCAAAATTATTACTAGGCATATTATACTGGTGGGCTAATAATTCCCAAATATTATTCTTGTAAATATTTATATATAAATTATTATGTTTAGTATACAAACATTCATATTCTTTAACTGATACTTTAAAAACTGTTTCATCTATTTTCTAAAAAATTTTTTTAATTTAAATCATAATTTTAACCTGAGGATTCTTTGATTTTACATCATCAAAAAATGTAGCCATTGAATTCATTTCAAATAATTTAAAAATAGCGCTAAATCTAAAATTTTGAGATAAATTCACCAAAATATGTATTTAACAAAGCAATATTTCAAAATAAACGCGATAAATACAAAATGATTTGTGTTTTCAAAAAATCGCAGCGATCTGCTTTCGCGATTTAAATCGCGCGATCGGTAATTATGAATGCGATATGATCGCGGCTAAATCGCAATCGTGCCACTATGAATTCAGGGTAAACAGCTCGATTTGGGCCGATTTTTAAAAATAATTTGATTAAGATAATAGACAAAATAATATTATCTAAGCCATATATAACAAAACAGCGGTGAATATTTTAGCATTATAAATAAAATAGTGAGATGACAACAAATTTGGTAACCCCATAAATTAACAGTAATCTTTACGATCTTAAATCTTTTTTAACATACAAGAGCTATCTTTCCGTGGGACTGATTCAACAAAAATTACGGATGCTGCAAATGTAGAAAACATAATTAATTCTTTCTGGATTATTTATGCCAATGTTTTTATACACCATCCAAAAAGATCTTGAATTAAATAAAATTACGAAATTTATATACAAAAATACTCGATTTACATCACCCAGATTCAAAACGGAGTAATATCTATTATGGTAGATATGGTGCTTGATTATATTTCAGATAAATATAACAAAAGTGAGATGCCTTTTTTTGTCTTTAGGCTGATGTGACAAAAGATGCATCAGGTTGTGAAAATCTAAGCATAATTATTTATATTTTTTCTGGAGAAGTCCAAGAAAATTTAATAGGGAGTTTTAATTTACAGTGTCTTTCTGCTGAAAGTAATATTAATTCAACGAATATGATAAACCGAAATGGAGGAGTGCAAACCCTACTTCAAAATAAATGAATAAAAAAGTTCCTTTTATACATTGCTACAACCACATATTGCATCTTTTGGCTCATAATTGGTATAATAATAGCACCCTTCTTTGTTCTCATCCTAGTTTCAAATGTTTAATTATTAATGTAAAAATATTTAAATCACATATGATCACATCTCTGCTTTTATGACATTTTAGCATATTTTTATTATCAAATTTTAATTAACCTAATATTTTATATAGTAAAATCGTTGCAACCTTTTTTATTCCAAATGTCTTTCTATCATGTAGAAAATAGTCCATTTAGTCTATTCATGATCAAATTGTTTCATTTTTTTAGAAATTATTTATTTAGCTTTAAAATCATAAATATCCTTATAAAAATAAATTGTATTATTTATCTTTTTATCATATTTTTAATTATTAGTTCATGTTCTTAACTTAATAAATATTTTTTTATAAAAATTAAATATCACTGCTGAATTAAATTAAGACACATTAAAAAAATGTAATATCGGCTGATAACTAAAATTTAAAATAAAAGATTAATCGGCCCGATCCGATTAAAAAAAATCAGTACATCCTTAATGAGCATTATATAAATTCCCATAATTTTTTCCTGGGAATTTTCCTTCCTACCATTTTATTTTAATGTAATATTTTTTTTATCCATGTTCTATTTACATTTAGACATGCTGATCACGCTTTCCGCTCCCCAGACATGCCATTTTACATTTTTCAAAGGCTATAAAAAATGTTTAAGTGAAAGATCTAGAACTGCAAACTTTGTTCATATTTTAATAAGATTTGAAATTGGAGATTGTTTTAATATATTCACCTTATTCATTTATATCGTTATTTTTTTAAAGAGTATTCAAGAAATCAAGTCCTAACAATAAAGTATGTTATACATATTCCTATATATATTCCCTTAAGAAAATTGACATAATTTTTTGCTATCATTTTTAATACAGCCGAATACAACATGATTAATTGTTAACTATCATTTGGCCTTACATAGAGTTGTTAATATATATAGATGCCTAAAAGCTGTATCTATAAAGATATTATTTATAAAGGGTATCTGTTACCTAGATACATTTATAGCTATATGTATCGAATAATTGATACATTTTCTGATACAATTCATTTTACGGTTTTTGTTATATTAAAAATATTGAATCATAAATTATATAAAATATTATTTTATACTTAATTATTCTAATTTAATAGCTAATGCATAATGTTCATTTTATAAAAAATTCTTCTATTAATATACTTTCATTAGTATCTTCATCTAAGATCCCCTTTTTATAAACAATCTGTATCTAGATTCTTTTTTCGAGGCCCTGTGAAAAAAGTTATAATAAAATTATTATTATTTTTCCTAAAAAAATGGAAAATTTTATACGGGAAATTATAGTTTAAGTATTTTTAATTAATCTCAAATGACAATTTCTATGAAAAACCAAGATATTCATCACAAAATTTTAGACTTAAAAATGAATTCCCATTTTTTATGTTTTTAAAAATTGTATCGAAAATATATCTTATAAATAATTATATAAATTTCTATATTCAAATCTATATAATTCTTTATTTAAAAAAAAAATTAGATAACAGCTTATTTAGGTAAAAGAGATTTTGTCGATCATTTGACGCACACTGATCCGGTAGATGGCGTTATTTTAATTGATCCTGAATACATTACAGGTCATCTATAATATAAATTATCACATTATACAAAGTTAAATTTTAGATCACCTTATTTTTTAGAAGATTTTAAGATTAAAGAGGGTTGAAATTTTCTTAAAAATATCATCTTTGATTTTTATATTAAGATAAAGAATTGGCTAAAAAATGTACATAATTGCAAAATCTTATATACTATGCATAGGCTTAAATGGTGTTGTTAAATAATCGAGTTTATACCACTCCATACTTTATCAGACTGGTAAAAATGGCTGAGACTTTAACGGCTCAATGAACCAATTAATGAGCCAGACTTCTGAGGGGACTCATATCTTTAGCAATAATATTTTGAAATATATTTTTTACAATCTTAGATAGTTTGTAATTTGTTTATCTATTTTTTCGATTTATTAAAAATATATATGAAAAGGAATATAAAATATTTATTAAGTTTAATGAAATTATATTTATGGTGTAAATATAAAGAATCTTATATATCAGGATTTAGACGCATACTTCTTTCTCCTAAAATGCTGCCCAAATTTTAAAAATTTAGCTCTCTACCAGACGAAGAATTCATTGAAAAATAACTTTTTTGGTTTCTTCTTGTCACTTGACACCACCTAATTTTTTAAATTTTAATTCATTTTTAATCGTAATATTCAAATACGGAGAAAGGAAGAATAGAATATAAATTGGAAAAGCTAAATCGATTAGACTTAACAGCTACTCGAGACTATTTTTTAGAAAAATAAACTCCGACTCAATTCAAACAAATATATTTTTAATATAGTTCTTTTAACTTAATTTTTTTATCTTAAATTTAATACTCGGCATCCGCTTCGACAGAGATCAAGTTACACCGAACCTAATAAAATCTTATGAGTCAAATTCGGATGGAGTCGGGTCAAATCAATAGCAAATTATTTGGGTGAATTAAATTAACATTTATAATAAAAATAATTGGTTTTTTTGGACAAATGAACTGAGAAGGTTGACCAGCAACTCAAACTCATTAGTCGGCTCATGAGCTCTTTGAGTTGACTTACAAACAAAATCTTTCATCTGCAAGTTTTAGATGAAGATGCTTGATATTTTTTCATAATTTTGGTTTATATCAGTTTCATTTTATTTAATAAATGTTTCATATTCCTTTTTATACCATTAATTTTGTCATAAAAAATACATATTTGTAATTTTTAAGAAATGAGCTCAGGTATTTGCTCGCAAGTCGGAGTCCTTTTTTCAACTAAAAACTCGAGTATCGGCTAGTGTTGCTAAATGGCTCGATTTATTTTATTTTTTAAAAGAGTGACTCAAGATTTTGGCCAAAAAATATTACGCCTGCTTGAAGATTTTGCATATACAGATTAAAGGTTTACCGATACCACTTTTTGGAGGCCGATCCGATATTCCTGATATTAAATTGATATCGGCCGATTACCTATCCGATATCATATCTAATTTTGTATTCTGTAAAGATACCAATGGTTTTAATTTTTAATATACTATTTATTAGTATAACATCTATAATTTAACTATACCATAACATATATATCATTTAAATATATTATAATGATCAGTTATAGTTTATATTTAATTCAATTGCAATTTTGATATAAATTATTTTTATTGATAAATCACTAATTTATATAATAAGTTAATAAACATATATATTATGAAATTTGAAATAAATATTTAAATGAATATTTAAAATTAATATATCGAAGATTTCTTTTTAGAAATACCAAAATTTCCAATTTATCAAAGGTCAGCCGGCGGCGATGAGGACTGTCAATATCACCAGTTTCACTAAAAACAGATTCTGAAGAGATTATCGCACACTTTTATTAACAGAATGCCCAAAAAATATCAATATGGCAAAATTATTATTATTAAAAAAATTAACTTAAAAATGAATTTCGATTTTATTTATAAAAATAAATTGTTTTTTAGATATAACTTTTTAAAAATTTTATAACATTTTATTTTTATTAAAAACGCCATTTTTTATCAGATCGGATTGGGAAATTTTATAATTTTGGCCGATAACCGATATTTTAAAATGGGCGAAATACCGGCCCGATCCGGTCTGATAAAAAATATCGGTACATCCCTATAAAATATATTTTTTAAAAAAAATAATGACTATTATAAAAATCTTTAGAAAATATTAAATCCATATTATTTTTAAGGCACCTGGCCAAAGATCTTCAATAAACCGGCCTGACTCCCTCCAATAAAATTTATGGGGAAAGACCCACCCAATAGTAGCTCCGCCATTTTAGTTTTGTTAAATCACCTAACTTTGACCATCTCCAAAAAGGTAAGCCTTGTTTTATATACTAAAAAGTTGTCTTCATCATTAAGTTGAGTCTCAACTTAAATATGTAACTTAGTTTTTTAAACGAAAAACTTAGCTAATCAGTATTGTAAATTAATTACAAAAGTTAGAATTTATCAATTAGAATTAGTTTAAAGTGAATATCTTATAATGAGAAATGAAAATAAAAAATATAAGGTCAAAGTTCGAGAGAATGTCTGCCCAAGTTAGACCGACGCGAGTTCGTTCAGATTGAATTCTGCGAGCAGATCGCGCAGGGCTCTAAATTATTATAAAGAATATCTGAAATTAACTATTCTAATTTATATTACATCATATTGAATTATATTTCACATACTCTAACAAGCTTAAAAAAATAAGATATTAATTAAATTTCTGGTTTTTTTTAAAATAAATATTTAATTATATTTATATTTATTGATATTTTATTATAACCTGAAAAAATGTCGAGGTCGACGAAATAGTTATTTATAGAAAATATACTTAAAAATTAGCAGTCTAAACTCCAGAAATTTATGAAAAATTTTTTTTATAAGCCCACCCCTTGATATAATTTTATGCTAGTTACCCGACCTACCAATAAAAATTTTATGAAGGAAAGTTCATAAATTTGCATTTCTCAAAATTAAAAAAAATTAACTCTACTCGGTAATCAATTTACTCGCTCGAAAAATATTTTGCACATACCCAGTCTGAATTAGGCCGGGCCACACAGATTTCTGGTATCTATCATGTATATATTTATAAAGGTAACTGCAAAGTATGGGCATCTATATTGGCCGCTTTTAGATACGGTAGAGAGGATCTGGACGTATTGGGCTTAACATTTCGCAAAGATTTATACTTAGCTGTTGCTCAGGTATAAATTGCTTTATCATATTCCTCTATTATCACTCAAAATAGCAAAAAGTATGCTTTATATGATTAGCTCATATAATGGAGGTCGAAATAAATTTATTTTAAAATTGTGTTGAGCGATATTAATGGTTTTTTTATTAGATAGATAGAGTATATGTTATTAATTTTTTGAAAATAATTTGAACAATCAATCTGTTTTTTGAATACATTTTTTTGTGGATAGGTTTATCCTCCGGTAGCAGATTACAATAAAAATCTAACCCGTCTTCAGGAAAGATTACTCAAGAAATTAGGACCCGATGCTTATCCGTTTTTCTTCGAGGTTAAAATAATGAAATAAGGATTGTAATTTTATTTTAAGCTACATCCATTATGCCAAAAATTTGCAAAAGTCTTAACCTATATTAAATTTGAAAGTATGAACTGAATATTCATTTTTTGTTAGATCCCTTCATTAGCCCCGGCCTCTGTAATACTCCAACCAGCTCCCAATGACACGGGCAAACCTTGTGGTGTTGATTACGAGCTCAAATGTTTTGTTTCACCTAGTTTGGAAGAGAAACCGCTTAAAAAGTATTTTAAGGAAATGATTAAGTGAAGTTTGGAAGGGGAAATGAGGAGAGCTATATGAATAATTTGTTAATTATTTGTCTTAGTCTAAGTATAAAAATCGTTTTAAGTTAAAATCATAAAGAGATAATGAGTTATCTTGTAGTTCTAATTTAGATAAAATATATCTATACAATGGGAAATTTAATCATCATTTCAAATAGGCATTTTAATAGCTGTTTTTAATATTAAATTAAATATCATGCATGAAGGCTTTTATTTTGAGAGTTTTTTCTTTTATATCTTACAAGATCAACCGTAAGATTAGCCATCAGAAAAGTGATATACGCTCCTGACAACAAATTTTATACGGGAATTCAGCCTCACACTGAAGTGTCCAAAGATTTTATGATGAGCCCCGGCCCTTTGCACATGGAGATTTGTTTGGATAAAAAGGTATTTATAATAATTTTTATAAACCTTATTATTGGGGTTAAATTTTGGATGGTGCTAATTAAACAAGCTGAATACATTCATAATATACATTAATTTCTTATAACTAATTCACACTTTCCTGCTTAATATAAACTTATAACTCATTATAAATACATTATTCAAACACAATTCAATATCCTACTAAGACTCATTATCCTACAATCCACAAAAACAAATTTATCGTATCCAGCAGCATATAATGCAAGACTTAAATGCTTACCATTCATATAAACGAATAAATTCATTGTTTAACACAACATCCTACATTACATTAACTTAGAATTCATATGTCTACCACAATCCCTAAAACTCATCCAAAAATTCACAAATAATGAGATAAAACAAATTCATCCTACCAAGTAAAAGATGCCTAAATTAGCCTAAAATTCAAATGCATAACTTTCATATCTATTAAATTCAATATTTTAAGACACAATTCTGCAATTCCTTAGGCATGATATTCAATCGACTCTCTTAACATAAACTTAAAATTCCAATTCTTACCATTTATATTATCTCAACAACTCAATGCTTTAAGGCTCGATTCTAATTATTCATAAATAATAAATAAACTTGACCAACTCCACATAATATTTTAAATAGGAATCTATAAATTACAACAAAATCCCCCTGCCCCCCCCATAGTACCTATTATTAGTGATTATCTATTTTCTTCATTAAAGGATAGTTCTTTTTAACCCTTTCCGATTACCTTTTTTTGAGTATATTTTTTGATATTTTAATTGATAATCACAAATAATTTGAATAAAAAATCTCAAGAAGAATTCCCAAGTGCATTATATATCGAATCTAATGTCATGCCAAAGATTTTATTGGCTTTTTCAATATGTGAATCTAAGATCAAGTTCATGGATTTTTATAACTATGCATATTGTCTTTTCATAGAACGAAGTGCAATAAAGCGGTATTTCCCCAAAACACTTAAAAAAAGTTGCAAAATCTGGGCTACCGCTGCCAAGACTAGATATAAAATAATATTATTGTAACTATGATTATTTGTTAAAATAGTTATACAAGCAAATTCCAAATTTACACAGGAAAAAGAGATTGCACTATTGAAAACCGGGAAGTCGATGTAAAATATGATTGGAGGAATGAAAAACAAATTTCACAGATTATTTTTTGATAATTATTTTACGCTATCCTTTGTTGAAGATTTATATAACTTAGATATGGATGTGGCGCATTCAATGCACAAAGAAATTTATTACCAAAAGTTATAATGATAAAAAAATGATTAGGGTTGATGAATTCAAAGTTATTTATGAATAATATAGTGTGCCTCAAATGGGAAGATAATAAATCTATACATTTTATATCAAAAAACTATCATTAGCCTGGTGACAAAATTTCCTCCAGGAAGAACAAGCTGGGGGTATCAATGAAAATACTCATCCCTAGATTGATTAACTATTATAACAATGCTATGTGTGGTGTTCTCTTTATACATATAAAGTGCTATCATATAAATAGTTGAATAAAACATGGTGTAATCTTTTGTTATTTTATTTTATTGAAGCCGCTAACTCATACGTTATTTATAAAAATTGGTGGCAATGGAAATTAATTGCTATAAAGAATTTCGTAGATATATTATATCTCTTGAAATTTTTAATAGCAAAAATGAGCTTCCAGTAAAAGAAAGGTAATGAAATCTTATTTTAAAAAATGGAACAAACCCTATATTTTAATTACAATTATATGTAAAATTTGTCCATTGGAGACAAATCTACACGTGATTCACATTGTAATACTAAAGATAGTCCCCATAGGACAGTATGGATGTGTACTAGTAGTCCCTTTATGTTTAATCACTTAATCGAAATGTTTTATATATCGTTTTATTATAATAAAACTGGAAACCATTATTATATGTTATTAAATGCTTGGCCCTATTTGAAAAAAATGTTGAACCCGACTTTTAGCCGATTCGCATGACTCTTATGAATAAAAAACTAATTTTCCAATCCATTAGTACATTTATCTTTTCGGGACGACCGACAACTACCCTCTTAGTCTCGGTACGAGACTTGTGGGACCATTTCTTTGATCCTTCTTTCCTTAACTTTTTACAATAGATTCGAGCACTAATATAATCCCTTTTAAAAATTGGAGTCTTGATTAAAGTTTACCTTAGTTTCTTCTAAAATTAGATTGAATTGCTTAATAGCACTGCTAAACATGTCTCCCTTACTTCAAACTCTCAAATACTAAAGCCAGGTACATGCAATGACACCATTCAAAGAGGTTTAAATTCTAGGGAATCCCATCGACTTTGGAACCCCTTGGATAGATATATGTGCACAACAAACGCCCGAATAGAATAACTTTTATTATTTTTAATATGAAAACATTTCTCGCAACCTTACAAACTTTGATAGGTGTAATCTAAAGGAAGTATGTGTATAAGCGTGACAAATATAGCTCCCATATTCCTGCCAATAATTGTAACACCATTATCGACCTTCGGATGGTATGGTATTTTTAAAGGAGCTAAGAATGCCTATTACTAGAACATGGAAACCAAAAAACTCCTACTAATTAAATAAAATGGTTGGCCATTGGCATTCGCCAGGCTAACTACCTTAGCTTCCCCCCTTTTATACATGCGAATTAAGACTATTGAAATTTTAATAATCTGATGGACTTAATTTTTTTCGACTGAATAAAAATAGATAAATATTACATAATAAGATCTAATAAAAACTTATAATCGGGATTGAATTAATAAAATACGTGACAATAAAGAATATTTTATCATTCAATTTAATTATATAGTTGAGTTGGATAAAGGACTCTATTTTATTAAATACATATGTTTTTATATCATTGCTTTGGAACCTTTTATAAAAAGAATTAATGCTTGAATATAAAATAATAGAAATATTACCACGGGGAACCCCTAGCTGTAAACGTTCAAATAACCAACAACTCTAACAAAACGGTCAAAAAGATTAAAATAGCAGGTTTGAAAAACAATCAATCTTTATTATAAAAAATTTTTATTCTCATACTTTTCTTTTTCAAACCTAAACATTAATTAAATTGAAAGAGCATAGGTTTGATAAAGACCACAAAATCATTTAAAAACAACTAAAAGTAGTTTTTATTGATTTCCTACTTTATTCTTTCTTAGAAATGAAAAAAAAAATTTTTATGATATTTTTGTAAAGTGCGACAATATGCCGATATTTGCTTATTTTCGACAGCTCAATACAAGTGTAACGTAGCAGAACTTGAAAGCGAGTACGATTTATAATTTTTTTCTCAGAGTATTTGAAGTAATGGAAGAATGGAATATGTTTAATAAAGGCTCTTCAGTATTTTATTCAAAATTGTCAGTATTTTAAATATATTTTTTTATAAGTATAATTTATAATAACAGAATCGTCTGTGTTTTATTTTATTTTTACCAATAAATATAAAAAATCATATAGTTAAGTATAAATTTTTTAGTAAATATAAATATATTTTTTTCATTATTTTAATAGATTTGCCAGTCTTTTATACTAAGAGTGCATCTAAAGTCAAAAAATATTTTTGAAAGCTTTTATGTATTTTGCGTCCAAACTCTATTTCATAAATTTCAATAATAAATTAATTTTAAAATAAAATTTTGACTGACGCACCGCACCCTAGCAGTAAACATTTAGGATGGGGGAATAGCGTTGCATTGCATTCGTGATAATGCATTTGTGGATTTTATTCACGCAAATTATTAATGTAAATCACCCTAAACCATATCTCTCAATTTTTATTGGGTTTACGCAATTTATCTCTTTCTATCTTGTTATAATTTATTTTTTAATATTCGATAATTTTCTCTGGAGGGTTTATAAATCGTAGCTAATATATCATTTAAATTTATTGGGGTAATTTTTATTTTATATAATACAATTCCTTTAATCTATAATAAAATATTTTACGATAGGCCCATAAATTATAAATTATTCTATCATACACACAGCGACGGTTTTCCCTTAGGGCCATGTTGTAATCTTTCCAAGGTTTACTATTTAACCCCTTTGCTAAGCGAGAATAGGGACAAGAGAGGATTAGCTCTAGACGGCAAGCTAAAACATGAAGACACAAATTTGGCCTCCTCTACCATGTATAATTATATAAGCATAGCATTGAGCCAGCATTTATTTTCATTTATAAATGTAATTTCTGGGGTTTTTTTTGAATGTTAGAAGTTTATAAGGTTTTAAGAAACGATTGAACGGGGAGAGGTTAAAGAAGAAAAGAAAGAAATTTAAAATTAATATATCAGTTGAATTAAGTTCTTCTAAAATATTTTAATAAGCGGGTTTTTTTTAACCTACATTCATTTTATATAATAATGATATTTGTTCAAATATTTTTAGCTAGGTTATTCTAGTTTTCTAGGATGAATATCTTTAGTTAGGGATAGAAATTAAATTTATTTTTAAAAAGACTCCTTGTGCAATCATCAAAAAATTTAATATTTTTATGAATACTTTTTTTTATTTCAAGATTCAAAGACGAAAGGGCTTTTAATACCCATAATGACCAAAATAGCAATGAAAATAATGGAAACAATAATCGAGCCAAGGAAAAGGAGAATTTGGGGATTATTGTCAAGTTTTTCTTTTAAAAATCTTTTTTATTTATCATTTCGATATTTTCGATGCCAGAAAGTAATTTTTTTGTAATTTATTGGGGTGTATTTAAAATATCCAACAAAAAATTTGATTTTTTTTATTAAATAAATATTTATATAGTATTTTTTTAAAGATATTTTTTTGATTTCCCCGACATTTTATATCCTTAGATGTCCTCTAAGGTTTTAATCTTGGTTAAAATTAAAGTTAAGACTATGGTGTAGTTTCTTTTTTAGTATCAACTCAATATACTATACAATTCGGGAATTTATTTTCATGTTTTCCTTACATTATATATTTTCTTTAATGTTATAAGTTATACTTGCGATAAAATCTTGTCAACTTTTATTTCTTGTTAAACATTAATTTTTCCAAACCCTATCTTTTTAATAAATATAATTCTACAAAAAAGGGAATAATTGTCATAAATCATCCTTATATTTTTACACCTGCAAATTTTTAGATTGAATTAGTAAAGAAATGGTCATCTTCAAAAAGTTTAATTACTTTGATCATATATTATTCCTCAATTGCCTTCTGTTCTTCATTATGGATTAATTATTTACTCTTCTTTTTTTAAATATATATGACTTGAAACACTTAGTTATGCTGTGAAAGTTAAATTGATAGTTTCTTTCGGCCAAGATGTTAGCGCGGAGGTGGGCTTTGTCTTGACTCATCCCAAACCGGTGGAGGAAACAGAGCCTGCTGATTCACTGCAAGTTACTAACTATGACAGTAAATATTCTAAAAATACGAAAAGTCTTACCGACGGAAATGAAATATCATCAAATAAACCAATACGAACCAATGAGCAGAACCAAGTTTCCAAGTTAATTGAAGAGCCAGATCTTATAGAGCTAGGAGAAGAAGAAAAACGATTAGATCAAAAGAGGTTTGGGGGAAAATATAAATATATTCAATTTTTTATGTAATGTCAATTTTATGATTGAATATATTGTTAATCTATTTAAGTTTTTAACGACATGAAATTCTTAACTAAAGCTGAGCCATATAATCGAAATGGCATGAAATTCTTAATTAAAGCTCGTTCATATAATCAATCATTAAAGTTTATAAGCATATACACTTTATTTTTTTAATGCGAATTAAAGCTTGTTCATATAATCGATCAAATTTAATTAAAGTTTATAAGCATATTCACTTTATTTTTAATGCGAAGATATCTCTGCCTCAACTTTCTTAAACTTATTTGAAAGTAGAATGAGCCAGGAGAAAAGGGAAAACCAACCGGTCATATATGTCTTGAATTAACATTTACAGTTTTAGATATAGATAACTATTTAAAATGTTCCTTTTTTCATGATCATAATTATATTTGATTTTACTATGATTATGAACCTATAAATATGAAAATAATATCTTCTTTTTTTAAAATAAATTAAACCTTTTTTCTCAAAGCCTTGTTCATGATGATATAATTTTCGAAGATTTTTCCCGCCTTCGTTTACAAAATGACATTTTAAATGATTTAAACGCAAAAGAAAAAGAAGTTCAAAATAAAGATCCAAATAACGAATGAAAAATCGAATATTTATTTTTCTCCTCTTTTCAGAAAACGTTTTTTAAAAATAATATATATTGTAAATAGAATATATTTATTGTAATAGCACATCATTAAAATATCCTTTTCAAATTTATATATCTTAATCCCTTTTAAATAAATTTTTTGATTTTTCAAATTTATTTTATACACCAATTCTTCCTTCTTATCACCCAGGGATGAATTAAGTATTACAGTTGTAACCTCAGCCGCACATTCAATACATAGAATTAGATAAATCTTGATGCCTAAAAGAATTATACATTCAGAATTTATTTTTATTTTATAACCATATCTTGACAAAATGAATTGCATGTATCTTTTAATTGTCTTTGTAGTAGAGTATAAATAAAATATCCTTTGTATTTTCTTTATTAATTCTTGACCCTTTACTTAATTTTTAGCTATTTTTTTAAAAATCACACCACTAATGTTATTATAATTTTAATCAATCTTTTAGACTCTTGTGCCAAATATTATTTTTAAACTTACATTATATAAGTTAGGGGTTTTTTTACTGCTAAAGAGAATTTTTAGAGTTTCAATTTTAGTATTCCATTGCCATTGTTTTTAAATTGTAAATATTTTAGAAAAGTACAAAACATGAATATTCAATATTTTTTAGCTATTTTTTTAAAATTTATATAATTTTTTAAAGTAATATTTATTTATTATATTTATTTTAATTAATTGAAAAATAAAAGAGGGAATTATAATAACCCTCTAACGAAATACTGCAGATATAAAAACCTTTAAATTGATGTTTAATATTCTCCTAGGATTTTTCATAAGAATTAATATAACATTTTGCATATTAAGAAGTGTGTAAATATAACATGGGCTCTTAGACATTTTTCTGGTTACATTTTGATTGAGAACAAAAATTTAGAGACCATCAAAAAAACAACTTAAAATATTTATTAAAAACAGCTTGAAATTATAGAATTTCTTTTTTATTTCTCTATAAAAATGTGAATACCTTTGTTTAAAATGAAAATTATAAATGAAGATTCATTGTTGAAAAGAAATCTCAAGTTTTCTGAAATCTTAAACAATGGAACCTTAAGAGGCGAGTAAATCGTGGGCAAGAATCTAAAAATAAGTTATTTGGTTCTCGCTGATTGATTATATTGATATCGCTCATGCATTAAATAAATTTAATATTCATTTTGTACTGATTAATGTAGCTGCTAATTCATTTTTAATTCATATAGATAAATTTGAAACCTTTTTAGAACCATATCTGAGCCCAAAACCTTAAAAAATTAGAAATATAAGTCAGAATCAGATATTCCTACAAATAATAAAATTGAAATATGTGATATTCGATTATGATCAGAAGAAAATAAAATGGTATTTAGAATGTACTTAGTTGATTCTAAAGAGAAGTTGAGCAGTATCGCAAACAGGGGCGTCTTCGCTAGCCTTTACAATCTAAGGGGGCTCAACTAAAAAAAATATTTATGGAGGCTTCACCCCCATACCCCCTATTGCAGGTCTTCGGCCCACTATTGCCCGGCCTTCAGCCGGGTTTTATATTATTATATTCTACTTTTTTTAAAATTTGCTAACTCTGAGCAATTATTCCGAATTTAAAATTTTTCATTTATTATATTATGCATACAAAATAAACTAGCATATAAATAATAAAAACAATGACATTTCTAAAATAATATTTTTTAATACAAAATCTATTTATTACAATATATAATATTTTCTATTGCTGATATAAAAAATTTTGCTTCTAAAGAATTACAAGTGATAAAAAAGGTTAATTAATTCATACATATGCCTCAATTGATAATGGTTTTTAAAGACCACATAATATAATATAATTCTTAGCAATTTGCATTGAGAAAAGGTCATGAAACTAATATAAATTTCTGTTACCATTTAAGACAATGATTTATAGAATGGACTAATAAGGAAAAATTTATAGGTCTAACCACAATTCTTGAAGAAGAGATTATAAAAGACCAATCCAAATCATAAAACTATATGGTGGTTAAACTTTTATTCACGAATGGAATTTATAGCGAAATTTTTATCACGAAGACAGTATCGCGAATTTTTTATAGCGAAACCTTTAAAGCGAATACATTACCGCTAAACCATTTTCGCGAAAATTAGTCAAGTTATTATCGTGAAGACAATATAACGACAATTATTTCGCGAAATATATATAGCGATTTTAATATCGCGATAATTCCTAATAATGACTAATTTATTTTGAAACATTTATTGAATAATATTTTTTTTAAAAATAGGTGGAAGATTGATTTAATGATAGAGTTTGTAATTTTTTAATAATAAATTTATATAATGATTAATGAATTTAGATCTGGTTTATAAAATTTATTAATGGAATATACTTTTTTTGTGATCCTGTCCTATGCTTTTCTTCTTATCTCATAAGAATCGCGCACGAGGAACTCAGCTTTATCAATATGTTAATCATTGAGTTTATTAGTTAAATCTTGATCTGGGTTGCATTAATGTTTATTGTCTGATGATTTAATATTTATGAATTCATCAATCAATTTTGGCAAGTCGGCCAATTGACCGGTAAAATTTAGTCAATTGAACGGAGGAATATTTGACCTGGTCAAATATTCTAGAAAATGAAGATAAAAATATGTTTGAAAAAGAAAAAGCGATATAAATACATGTAATCACAAGGCTCTTATTTATTGTGTCCCTAATATTGGGGAGCATCTTACTCATATTGAATTTAATGAAGCAGGTGATATAATTCAAGAATTAGTCATACAAGGTGGTGATGATCAAAATATTTCAAATTTTAGATGTAAAAGCGGCATTAGAAAATTATGGGGAAAGCAATAACTTCCACAATCAGATTCCAACCTCAAGCAATTGAATAAGCTTTAACCACCATGGTCATTAAGAGAAGTGGCATTTACTAACAATTCCTAGATCTACTTCTTCTTCAGAAATAAATTGGTCTGTTTCGGCTGATAATCTTACTAAAAGAGAAATTGATTAAAAAATATTAACGAAAATAATGATATTCAATATAAAAAAATATTTATTTGAATTTGACCATATTTGATCGGTTAAATGCACAACCCTGGTTTTGGCAGTCACTGACCAAAAACAGAGAAGCCAAATAAAGTCTACAACATTACTGCTTAGAGTGTCAATTTTGGATGGCAATTCAAAAATAAATTACATTTAAGTGAAATAAGGGATTTCCCCAATTCAAAATATTTTTGAATCTTATTATTTTAAGATCTTTACAGATATCTTTTCTTTTTATTTAAATATAAAATATTAGTTTATTTTCAAAAAATAAATAGGAATCTAAATCATATATTATGATGTAGCCTTAAGAACGAGGTTTGCCAAACCTTGACAAGCACTAATTCTGAAGCTTTAAGCCAATATGTAATGCTTCATAACAATACAAGTAGGTTGGTGCATATTTTTTTTCCACCATAATTATTCAAAATTAAAACCACTTAAAGAAATTTTCACTGAATTCCCAAAAGATGATTTTAAGTAAAAATTTTAATTTTCTTCAATTGAATTTAAAGTGCATAAGCATTATTTTTTCAGTTTTAAAATTAATCATGTTAATGTCATGAAAGGTAGGGGGATGAGGGAACCTTTTTTATCTAGACAAGGTTATCAAATGAAAGTCAATAAAATGATTTTTAGTGCTATTAAAATTACCCATCACTATATATGTCCTGGAGTTTAAGTTTGGACTAAATAATATTATTTTTTATATGGGATATATTCATAACATCTGTATAATAAATAAAATAAGAAAATCATTCCGGATGAAATATGTCCCACCGTGTATTAAAGGTCCTTTTTTATGTGGGACAAATTTCATCCTACTGTAAGGGCAACGTTTAAAACGAGGAAATTGCATTCTACTTTTATTATAACATGTGAAATTTTTCTATAATTGGGGTATTTTTGTCCGATGTCTTTTTTATCTATGGTTATTTTTAACCAGTCTTTTTGTCCGTAGAATCTTCGTCTGGGTCTTTTTGTCCAAGTCATATTTGCTCTATGATTCTTTCAAAACTATTATTCACCTCTGTTATATATTTAACAAATAAACTTTATTGGTTTAGACTATGATATGGCTATGTTCTTTTTCGTTCACATATTCAATAAAAAAAAAATTTTTTTTTTTAAATTTTACAATTAAATTTATTTTGTAAGGTTATTAATTCTCTATATAAATTAGATATCAAAAAATATAAAAGGATCTAGACTTTACTATGCCATTTCCTATTTTAACTTTTATAAGAAAAGGACTGAAGATTATAATGTATTCACTTTAACAGGGGTTTGTATACCCATATATAAATGATAACAACCCTCTCAAAACGTTTAATCACCTTCTACCAAACTAAAATAATAAAAAAAAGAATATACCATTCATCCCTATCCAATAATGATAATTATTTTATAACTAACTACATCCTCTAATTTCAATGGTGATCTTGATTGATCTACCCCCCCCCTCCCCAGGTAGAAGTCCCTGCACTCCAGTTAGCATTTCAAGTTACGCGACATTGTCCTAGCTATAAAAGTTTGTGAAAAAAATATCGGTTGAATTTGCAATATTATATAGCTTTAAAATTCCTTAGCGATAAACAACATCCACAGTAAAAAAATATTCGCGAAAAAGTGTTTCAGGACATTTACAATTTATTTGTGTAATAATATTATTTAAATAAATAAGATATAATAGAGCATGTCGTTAAAGGTTCATAATTTTTTGGCATTTGGTTAACTTTTTTAATATATTACTCATTTGATTTGATAACAATGTAAAAAAAATTACAATGCATCATTTGTTTTTGTTATATTTTTTAAATTATTTCTATTTTGTTGACTAATTAAATATCATCCCGCGACATTAAGAAAATTATAAAATTCCGCTAAATAGTCATAAATCTTAAATATTTTTTATAAAAACTAGTTTATTTAAGAAATTTACGGAAGAAATGTCTATGCCTTTAATTTGTTCCTATGTAGAAAGACATACAAACATTTTAAGTTATTTTCTCTAAAACATCCACCAATAATTTTAAAATCATTCTTCGAAGACTAATTAGAAGAACCCTATCTAGGCTTTAATTTAATTGTATGCGGTTTTAGATGAAATAATTTAAATGCTTAAATCCGTAATTAAAATCGATTTATTATTAATTAGGGAGAATATGATAAGAATAATCATATCAGTTTGGATTTTACAGTTTATAAAATCGTTGTTACATAAGTGTTCTGACCAGTGGCGTAGACAAGGGGCAAAGGCTAAACCCCCCTCCCTGTGAAATATGATCAAATAAAATTTTTGTTTTCTCATAATACTTTTATATTGATATATAGATGAAAATTTTCTTTTAAATTGATAAAACCCCCTCAATATTTTTCTAAATAAAATAATCTCAGAAATTTAAAAACAAATCATTTTATTTTATAATCAAATTTTCACAATGTTTTTTTACAAATGACAATTATAAAACGGAACGCTTCTAGGAGAGGTTAAGCGAATTACTTTACTAAACAATAACACGCA